TTCCTTTGCACATGGATTCCATTGCAAAAATGTAAAGATTACATTTTGCCCGATTGCTTCTTTTGTATATTGTGAAATGAAAATCCTTCACCATGGTGGAGCCAGCAAACGGGGAGAGGCTTTAGTATAATACTTCTAGCGATTTCTCTGTTTATCAAAAGAACCTGGCTGAAGAAATAGAGAAAGAGAGGCTGAAGAACACTGAGGAAACCTACCAAGAGGCAAGTGGGCTGTGGGTTTGAGGCACCATTAGAACGGAGCTGGCTTATGGGGCAGTTTTTCTGTGTCAGCCTCGGGGAGTCCAACCTTGCTCTAATGTTCATTGCCATCCTAATTAGAGGGCACCATCCGGATGCCCTTTCTCAGCAATGTCCATCCTTTCAGATTGCTGGTGGGATGGGGGTAACGTTTGTTTTTAAAAGCAGAGAATTACAAGCACAGTAAGGTCACCCACACTCTCTCTCACACACTTTTTTTTTTTAAAGAAAAGGAACGTGCACATTAGGCATGCAAAGCATGTTGATTTACATCACACCATGATATTTATGTGTATTCAGATAGTTGAAAGGCTAATCTAATTGTTTAACAATAATTATTCGGCATATCAAACCAATGAGTCCGTGAGAAACATGGGCCCTATCAGACATGTGCTAGGAGTTTTGCCACTGGAGTTCCCGGTGATTTTTTTCTTCCAAACCCTTCATTCTCAGGAGCAATGAGACATGCGTGGCACACTTGAGAATTAACTTTTTTTAAAAGAAAAAATGCTGGGAATTCCAACCAGAGAATCCTCAGCCCAGGTCTGGCTTGGCTCCTAGACTCTGCGGAGGAAGAGCCACGTGTGTCCTCTTGGCCTCTAGAGCCCCCTCCTGCCCCCCCCCAATCAGGCACCAACCTGTCTGAGCAACATCTGATAAAACAGCTCAAAGAAAACCAAAACCAGAATAATCACAGAGGCTATAAGCAAACGTCCTTCAAAGGCCTGATCTCCTGCACCGCTTCTCTACACCTCGTGTAATCATGTGGCGTTAGAAAAGGATTAAACGTTTTGTGCACCTAATTGCAAGGATGGATTAGTTGTCAGGAAAAATCACACACACGAGCCTCTGCTAACTAGACTGAAGATTTAGGGATTGTCAGGATAACCCGCTAGAGGTCCCTTCCACCCTGCGATGCAGCCAGAGAACTCACTCGGCGAAAGAGGCCTGACCCCAAACCAGATGCAGTTAATTCAATGCTAACATGTGGTAGGCAATTCTGAGAGAAGCGCTGAGAGCTTATGGTTTCTCGCTGCCCAAAATGCCCACACAAATTACCGTATACATTGCAGCGCCACATTCACAGAGCTATCATTCAAGCTCATAAACATGGACCCGGCCCTGAATGCGATGAATTCAGCATCCATAAACATGCCGCTCGGTTAACCATTTTCCCCTTTGGGGATTCATTCAACCCAATCATCATTAGGAAAGTGTCCACTGTTGATATTGGGCATGGCCAGCAGAGCTTGGCTTTCAACCGACACCCCCTCCCGTGGCTGAAGGAATCCCCATCCATGGCCACTTCAGACATCCCTCCCATTCTTCTGCGTTCCCTTTCACTGTCCTCCAACAGAACCAGCTCGTTTGGACCTGCTGCTCTGCCTCTTGTTTCCCCCCCTTCAGAATGCAAAGAGGCAGGCATTATTTATCTCTAGAACATTTGCACTTCTGAAAGCCCGGCTGTGGTCTGAGTGGTGTTTTAATTTTTTATTCAATCGATTCCCCCACCCCGATTCCACCCGCAAAGGTCTGTCTAGACTCAGAAAAGCAAGACGGCCCAATGAGCTCTGGTGTCTAGCTCCATTTGGAGCAGGTTGCTGTGTTTGGGATTGCATCTGCTTCCCATAGCTCCAAGCAACCATCCTATATAGTTGTGGGTGGTGGGAGGGGAGAAAGCGTTTTGTTGATGGGCTTCCTTCAGGAGCATTGCATAGAGGCAGCGACTCTATGGACCTCAGCTTCTCCCATGTGGGTTTTCATGTTGGCACGAAAGGTGTAGGGTGAGTTTGGTTGTGGGTATTTTGGGGTGGAGGGAACAATAAAAATACTCTTTGGAACAGCAGAATGGACTAAGGAGACTTACAAATGTCCTGGCCTGTGCAAGGATTCAACACCAGCCCAAACAAGAACATGTTCCTTAACTATCATCAGACGCACAGTTTTCTGATAAACCCCTTGCAGCCAAAATCTCAAGGCAGCAAATGTTACTGGGAAGAGAATGTCCTGTAGTCTTATCTTTGGGACAGCATTTCTCCATCCCAGTTATCTATAAAGTTTTGGTGTAAAGTTCATGTATGGCGTCGCTAGCTGAGCTGGATGAGGCTTTTTTAGAGATCGGTCCCAACAATGACTGCTAGGCATCCTCCCAGCTGCTTGTAGGCTTCTGTGCAGACAGAACAGGATCCTATTTAGCCCGTCTAGCCCGTCCATTATGAGACCTGTTCTCCTAGAATCGTTGCTCCAACCGAACACCTTATAAAGCCACCTGGCTTCTGAACTTCTTAGGCACAGTTTCCCGCCTCCTCCCTTTCCTTCGGCTGGAATAAGTAGGGGATTTTGAATCTTGGCCTTAAGTCCCTGGCATTCTCTTGAACATCAATGAGTAACCACCATGTGGGAATATTGACCTGGGTGGTTTCTGTGGCTTTTTGTCTGAGTTCTGTTTACACTACGGGCATATGATTCACATTAATAAATATGGCAAGGAGTTAAGCAGGCTTGGGGCTTTGGGACCTCGCTGGGATTATGTTATTTTAAAACCTTTCCATCTCTCCAAATCGAGATATCAGATTCAAGATGGAGAGCTAATGCTGTCTGGTACATGATAAGGGGTGGGGGTGCCTATGATGGAAAGGCCCCATCTCTCTTCCCACATTGCTCCCCAGGCGCCGGGATCCATGCCACTGTGCCCCGGGAACCCCCAAGTCAAAATGGGCCCACTAGTAGAGCTTTCTTGTGCAGACAGCTGAGACTCCCCTTCCACCCCCACCCCGGCCGCCTCTGTTCTTTAAGGACAGTGATTGTGTCCCTCCCAGCTTGCCAACAATCCTGGAGTTTGCGCAGCCATTTCCAGCTCCCAAATAGGCAGTTCTCCAGATATTCTTCATAAAGACAATAATAAACCTGTCAGGGAGCGCAATTCCATATCTGTTCTTTTACTGAAGTTTATCTCAACTAAGCATTAAAATAAAGAGCCAAATGAATAAGGTCCATAACCTGCCCAATGACTTCACAAAGGGACTCCGAATCTGAAGAAGCGCGCCTGCACAGGAAAGCTTATACCCAGAATTAGACTTTGTGGGTCTTAAAGTTGCCCCTGGACTCAGACTCTGTTCTGTTGCTTCAGACCAGCAACATGGCTGCCCACCTGAATCTATCTTAGAGAGCTCAAAAGATCCCAGAAAAGTCCCCCCCCCCCCCAAATAATGCGAACGACAGAGCCGGGGAAACTCACGTTCTGCGGAGGTTCCCTTCCAGCGACCTCCCCGAGGAGGGGGCTCCGTAGCTGAGCATAAAGACCAGGAAACTCCACTGTCTGAAGAGTCGGGGGAACATCGTCGCTGGCCGGAGGGGGGGTCTTTGGAACCTGCGATGAAGGGAAAGCACGAGTGAGCGCGGGGCGGGTGTGGCGTTTTCTGTGCTCTCTCGCAGACAGCCAAGCGGCGCTCCACGCTGGACCCCACCCCCCAGCAGAGGAGCAGCGCCCAAGCGGAAAACGAGCGGGATGCCGAGGCAGGCAGAGCCCGGGGTCGTCAGTGCGGATCAAGCCCCCTCGGAGCACCCGGGGATACCTAGAGGCGAAGGTTCAGGTCGGCGGCCTGTGGCCAGCGGGCGCCGCTCCTTCCCCAACCTGGCGCACGCCAAAGCACTCGGGCAGGCAGGCAGGCAGCTGCGGGCGCTCAGAGGCGGGCGAGCGGCAACCAGTCCGCTCCGCAGCCGGCCATGGAATGTTCACACGCTCCGCTGGAGGCAGCAGCGCGAGAAGGAGCCGCCGCCGCCGCCGCCTCTGGGAAACCTGCTGGAGGAGGAGGAGGAGGAGGCGCCTGCGGAGAGATGGCGCCCGAGGAACCGAGGTGCTCCGAGCCCCAGCGCCGGCGGGCGGGTTGCTCGCGCTCCCCAGCCCTTGGCCAGGGGCCTCCCCTGCCCACCAGAGCCGCCCGCAGGCGCTCCCCCGGAGCCCCCGGACCTGGGCAGCCCCGGCCAAGCCGGCCCGCGGAATGAATGGCTGGCAGGACTGGGAGAAGGGGGGGGGGGGAC